CCAGGGGGGAGTAGAAATACTCCTAGTCGCTTCATGCTACAGAAACCAGGATAAGCTCCGGCCTGGTGGGCCACTTGGCTCGTATGCAGACTTTACCGATCTACTGGTCAGCAGAGTTACTCAAAAACATTTACGGATGATGGAAAGACATTACTCGCATGTCATTTATAGAATATGCACCACAGCTAAAACCCTTAGAATGCTTACGCAATCTCCGGGTTAAAAATTAATAATGTGGAGCAAATTTCGTTTGACCTTAAGCATGTGTATTCGTTAGAGCACGTTGTCTGTTTGACGACCCAGTTGTTAAACAGATACAGAGTAAGTTTGTTATCCCGTTTGATTTTTTGTTTGTCTCGCAGTGTGGTAAGAAACAAGAGAGAATGAATTTGCCAGTGAAGAATGTAATCAAAACCAATACAATCAAAACCGGCCTGTGAACTCTCGGTGATCACGGGGAGAATATTCTGTGCGTGTGAATAAGTGCATTCGTTAAACCCAACCAAAACCTGTAAACATTTGTTAATTCGCAAATTTTCTCTATCCCTTTGTTTGTTGCTTCCATTCTGTTTCCCCGGAAATCATTTCCCGGTCAAATAAAAATCGTTGTTGCGCGTAACCGGCCGGCCAGCCAGCCAGCCAGGGTCTTGGGCTCTGCTACAAAATTTACTGATCAATGTTGGAAGATGAAGGCAGGTTAATCACATGTAGGCATGTGTTTCTTATCCTAAATATAAAATACTGCCTGGAGAAAAATCCCGAATTACTGACCCAAAACAACTTAAATGTGCCGAGATGTCTGAAAGTTTTCTGCTCCACAATTTAAGTCGAAAAGGCAAAGCTAAGGAAATTTTTGGTGTTGAACTAATCATTCTGAAACTGTTTGCTCACCTGATATTTTTCTGTTGCACACTTTCATAGCCCAGTTTACCAGCAAAGATCTCTTCGATCTGAAAATTAACATCAAATGAAATGAATCAATTTTATGTTTTATTAGTAATAGGTACCATACATTTTTAAATGAGTTAATTCAATGAACATTGTTTAGTTTAGTTTAGTCTTTCCCAATCAGTTCATTACCACACAAGCAGTTTTTAACCGAACTCAAATTGATTCATCTGTTTGTCTGTCTGTCCACCTGTACTGTCCGTCCATCTGTTCTGCTGTCTGTCTGTGTCTATCTGTCTCTTGGTCCGTCTAGTAATGTCTATCTGTGTCTCCACCTGTCGTTCTGCCCGCCCAACTGCTTCTCAGCCTGTCTGCCAATTTATCCCTCCCCCTTCCCATTGTCAATCTCTATATTCCCCAAGGATGTCTGTATAATAAGGTTTCGTTGTTCAAGTGCCTTAGATAAACAAGTTAGTTACCATTTTACTGAGTTTCTCCCAGACTTGATTGTATTCCCCATCAATACAGTCTTCACCCGTGATAACCAGGGTCACGTTAATTACATCACTTGCTATGACTATAATAAAAAATAACGTCAACACAGTACCTTTCATACACAAACAACTGCACGGAAACGATTTTCGGCGGTCCAAAAATATAAGCAATTTTAGTTGTATTTTTTGAATTACCATTAATTCATGCACTGTGCTGCTACCGTATTAAAAAGGCTTAAAGGCCATTCTAAAACGCTATTTTAACTGCCATTGTAATATCTGCTAGAACAAGACGTTACAGTAGAAACAAGCTGGTTGAAAGGCAAATTTCTTCCTACATCAGTGCCATATACAGCTATCAAGCACACTGGACCCTTTTTTTTCAGTACAACCATAACGAGAAATTACAACTCAATTTCTAATTCACTGAAGCGCTATTTTGGTT